CTGAGTATGCAAAAGATGAAATGAAATTTCGGTCATAAAAAAATGATGAGTGGTAAGAGATATGTTATTTCGGCCAAGTGGTTACTCGAGATGAGGGTTTTCATTAATTCGCCGAGTGTTTAAAATTCTTCAGCGTAACCAGTTTCTCTATTAAGCACGTTTTTCTTATTAAAGCAATTTGTTAATGCGGATTTCTTTGAATTTTTTGAAAGGCGCACTTGACACATTTGTAGAAATGTACTTCTGATCGACATCGACCGCTACGCCTCATATACCCAATTGGTAAAACAAAGACCTGTCTGTCTATCCCACCGAATATTACGGATTTATAGCTCGTAAAATAAATTAAAAACTCCACATCTATTGAAAAATTAGGAATATTGTAAATGAATGTATGTATAGGATTATTTGTATATATACTATTCATAATACTGTGGTGTACTTATTATACATAATGTGTAGCAATTTAAATTTTATACGAATTTATTTGAACAACCAATCATTAAAGTTTCTTTTAACTGCCACACTAAGTCCAATTCTCACCATGGAGTTAGTTGACATGTAGAAAATACCTATATGACATTAAGTTTGCTCTTTGAGTCCCTTCTTAAAGGGATGTATTACCTTACTCCTTATTACATTGTATGGTGTTATCATGTTCGGGCTGTCAAGGGAATAAGACAGATAGATTTCTTCCAATAGAAGAGGAAATACGGAGCAAGAGGCCATTAATAGTGGTAGAGCCACGTGGCAGCTTTTGCTGTTGCACGTACTGGCCGGTTCGTGCCGGGGTGGTACCACGACTGCACAAAATACCGGCGTGAATTGGAAGGGCTACTTCCGCGTTTCGTCTGGTGAGTGCAGGTGGCCGGAGACCGAACCACCCCCCCCCCATCAACATTGTAGCGGAATTAAATGTTAGACTACCCCAAGAGGGTAGTCTAAAATTTAATGGGGTAGTCTAACATTTAATTCCGCTTCCAGCACCCCTGGAAAAGCTGAGCATCAACGACCAAGCTACTTCACTTCTGAGCGTGGATGCTCAGGCTGCCCCGCATATTCTCGGGGGGGGGGGGGCAAAATTCCGCTCGAGACTAAACCCGCTTGGGCTTTCGCCATTACTTCCTTTTCCTCCAAAATTATGGAATCTATTATACACTGCCAGCTCATGCAGTACCTTAAGAATCACCAGCCGGTAGGTGACCTCCAATACGGTTTTCGTTGGGGTCGATCAGCTGGTGATCTTGTGCTCTACCTGACTCATCGATGGGCAGAGGCAGTAAAATCCAAAGTAATTGGCCGTTAGTTTGAGCATTGCGAAGACTTTCGATCGGGTTTGGCGAAAAGCGCTTCGATTCACTGGCCCTGCGAAGAGATGATGCATCTCTTTGCATTTTGTTTCGGATCTACCACGGGGAGTGCTCTGAGGAATTGTTCGGATTAATCCTAGCCGCCAAATGTCATGAACGCACTACGCGGCAAACCTCCCGATACCATCCTCAACCATCTGAATGCTTGGTGGTAAACCACTACACGTTTCACTAGGAGTTTTCTTCCGCGTACGACCTCTCTGTAGAATAGTTAGTACCACCGGCAATTTTTCCAGACCGATACTACCTAGGGACCTTCAAGAAAAGAGCTTATTCCTTTCTAAAAGGCCGGCAACGCACCTGTAATTCCCCTGATGTTGCAGATGTTCATGGGCGGCGGTCATTTAACATCAAGTGAACCGTACGCTCGCTTGTCCGCCCCCCCCCCCTATAAAAATGGAATAAAGGGTAGGCTTTTGAGACGTGTCGTTGTAATCTTCTAAGATCTGCCTTATGGATCGCTCTCTATTTCACCAAGCTACATATCCCAACACTTTATTATACGCTTCTGGGATCTGGGTACTTTATCTTAGGGAATATTCTACCAATTTTTATCAGCGCTTTTAGGTCATGAAGTATGCTTGTAAGAGGTATGTAGGCCTTTCAAAAAAGAGTAGGTTCTTTCAGAACTAAGAAGTTATTCGGAGAAGAACTTCTACTTCTCGTAAATCGTAAAGTATTAAGCTTCCGGATGATATTGATAACTTTTGTCACAATGAAAAATTTGTGATTAGGTAATATATGAACAGGTAACTTTTAAAAACTACGTAACATACGATAAGTGCGCCTTATTGAAAATGTCTAACACATAATAGTGTTGGAACAACGCAAAATTGATTACGCTTTACATTGTTTATTTTTTATTTTCGTATTAACAATTTTTTTAATATCAATATCGGTTATTTGTATATGAGATGAGTGAACATGCAACCACCAATGACCAACATCATCAGCTCATTTTCACAATTGGTCAAATTCGTGCTAAAATATGTTTTGAGCCTCTAGGATATTCTTGTGTGCAGTGACTTAGAATGTATTGTGACGGCAATTAATAATTAATTTCTTTATAAAGCCGTCAAAATTATCTTAAAAAAAATATATTGAGCAATAAAATACATTAAAAAGCATGACATTAAAATAAATACATTTCAGATATTATAGTAAATTAAAGGCTTAATATTTTCTTTCAAAATCAGTAAATTTATTAAAAACTTTGATAAAACATTCAAAATGTGACAAATAATAGAAATACAAATCGAAAATAACAAGTGAAGTACAAGTGAAATAAGACCACAAATACTTTTGTCGTCTTATTTTTCGGTCCGTTTTGAAGCGCTTATTGGAAATCCAGTATATTATTGATGGAAGCATACGGGTATATGTGCGACTGCGTATCTATTGCTTATACTGATCTGCATATTGTGTAGTAGTTGGCGCGTAGTAGAGGCTAACTAAAGACATCAGGTTGGCATATCTCCTTCTTTCATATAATAATTATGTATGGTTCTTAGAATAAATCAATATGCTTTGCAGGCTGAACGCTTGCAGACCTGTACAGCAGAAAGAAAATGACAACAGAAATATGGGAATGCAATTTATGGATATTGAAAACAACAGATTTATCTCATATCAGTTATATGTGTTTATATAGCCCCCACACTGTATCTTTTCTCTGTGTGCTGCCTTTAAGAAAAATATTTTAATATGTAATGATTAACAACTGGTTGTATATATATGATAATGATTATTAATTGGTTGTGTTTGGATAAAAAAACACAATGCTTACATCACTGTGTTTATTATTATTTTCGTTTATTAAGTTTCTTTTACGTAGTAGAGCCAAGCTGCAGCTATATTTTGGTTGTAGCATAAATGGTTTGACTTGAACGTGGAAGGACCACACTGTTACAGAACACCAACGTAAAATAGCAGGTCAATGCTGCTGTGCTTCGTATGGTGAGGGTAGAGAACCAGAGATTCTTTACTGGAAACTAGGCATTCCATGTTGGTCTTCAAAGTAACAACGCATCTACATTTTGAGTCTTAATCGAAGATAAATGTAGATGATTATTGGTCACAGCATCCGCTTACCATCACATGGACTGCATGCTCGTTTGTCACCCTTATATTATAAAAAGTAGCACAAACAGTTAGGTGTGGTGTGAAAACTGTTGTAAAACTGTTGTAAATACAATTACATTGTATTACAGTACGTTTGCACTGCGAAACATCCAACATGTAATGTTTTGAAACAAATCGCATAAAATAAACCACACAACATGTTTTGTGGATGATGGCGTTCGCACTCACAAAAACTGTGTAAAATTTTCAACAGATATTCAAACTTATCTTTCAACATGGCAATATTTCTACAAAATTGTTTTCAAACATTTTGTTTCTGTAGTTATAAAGATATATTATAGTTAAATATGTAATGTGCAATAAACTGTCATACATATTTCACTACAACATGTTATTTGACTATGCAAACGCTTTTTGATATATTGACAGAAAACACAGGCATAATCATTTTGCGATTCATATAGACCACTGATAACTTAGAAGTCGAAAATGAAATTCGATACAATTATCAATTTAAATAAAAAAGCGATTTAAATGGATTAAGAAAGCTGACGAAAATAAATATCATTAATAGAATCAGACGTTATTTTGGTTTAGTCCATTTTATTAAAGATGTTAAATTAATTAGCTAACATCCGCGTAATAGAACAAAATGATGTGTCCTAAGTATTTAGCAGTCAGCGCAGCGTCTTCTTCATCTGAGTTGCCTCGTTTAGGGGTGAAACACGTGTCGTATTATCGAAGGTGATGTATCTACGCTAGTGTAGTAGTTTTGGGAGTGGTGACAGGGATAGTGCACGTAATTGAGAGAGGGCGAGAGTGTTCTTCACATCATTTCATTTTATTACGCGGAACTTAGCAACTTTTTTTTATTATGTGCGAGCAGCTATGCAGGTTAAGGGAAAGAGACCAGTATGACTGCGACCTATAAGATCTATTGTGATCACTGCTAAGCTGCTTCAATAAATAGAAGGAGTTGCTTTGTCGTGAGCAATTTCACTTCTGGGCGGAGTAGATTAGTTTCCTACGAGTAGATGAGTGTTACGTTTGCGCCTTAAGGATCCACAATCATGTCAATCAATCATGAAGCGCAATACGGCATCATGTTCGTGGGTAATACTGCATGTTTTTTTTATAGAAGAGGGGGCAAACGAGCATGCGGCTCACCTGATGGTAAATGACTACCGTCGCCTATGAACAAACGCAGGGAAATTGCGTGTACGTTGCCGGTCTTTCAAAAAGGAGTAAGCTCTTTTCTTGTAGGTCCCTAAAATGAATAATAGAAATCTATATAAAAATTAAATGACAAAGAAATTTAATAAAAAGGTGATTTGTAATACCTTTTAATTACTGTATAGTGTACGCAGTAAAAACAATTGGGTAGTATATTTATGGGAGTTTTATCCGTCCGCATTATTGTTTTCGCGTCATTGACGCCGGGTTTCACCAGCATCGGGTAAACCAGTTGGAAATCAAAACTTGTTTGACAACAAATATAACTGACCATCCTACCATTGCACTCAGTGATCTCTTGTAACTACTCCAATCATGTGCAGTGCAGACCCTTCCTTTTGGAGACAGGTACAGAAATTTTGTGTTCAAAATTTAATTTATAACATGTGTGAATGCAAAGTAATTAGAACATAATAAAAAGCTGTGTGTGAATTTTATATGAAATTTGTATTTATAAACAAGGGTACGATAAAAATATTGTACTTGTAACGCTTCAGTAGCAAAGATCTAAAACAACTTTTAATAAATGTATAGTGAGTAACGAAGAGTTAATTAAGCGATTGATTTGGTTATAGACATTAACTTAGGGTTGGGGGGAGGAGGGGGGTAGGCCATGCATTCTGGAATTCTAGCCTTGGTGTAAGAACATGGATTTATATTTTAGGAGAAAAAACATAATTTTGTAATTATCTTCCATAATGTCTCGTACATCGCAACACACTTATAAATGAACGCATAAAGTCATATCTCTTCTCTTCACCCAACCCTTAAAAGTCAACAATCCAAATTCAAAGCCCTTAAAAGTCCAAATACGAATCAAAATGCAGATGCGTTGTCACCCCTGAGGACTGAGATGGAATGCCCCGTTCTTTACACTCACCATACAGAACACAGCAGCGCTAAGCTGCTATTCTGTGAGAGCGTGGTCCTTCCCCGATCGAGCCGACCCGTTCGTCCTACAACTATACTACTGATATAATCATAATAGCTGCAGCATGGCTTTACCACATATAAAGAATGCGTTTCTCACAAAAAATTCGCAAAAACAGGTTTATCGAAACCCGCTATAAAGACAAGTTTAAGTAATAATGGTTTTTTGACATATTATATTTACGCGAACACAACACATTGAAATAATACTAGTTTTTACGGAATTTATCGCGTATATTTAACTTTTTAAATACCCGACGTTTCGAACGCTTTACAGCACTCATGGTCACGGGCGGGACTGAAATGTTCAACGTCCAGATGTCATAGTTAACCGCGGTTACCATAGATTAAAATTTAACTTTTGTTCCGATCTACACAGTTAAATTTTAATTTTAATCTATGGTAACCGCGGTTAACTATGACATCTGGACGTTGAACATCTCAGTCCCGCCCGTAACCATGAGTGCTGTAAAGCGTTCGAAACGTCGGATATTTAAAAAGTTAAATATACGCGATAAATTCCGTAAAAACTGGTACTATTTCAATATTATATTTGTTTGATGGCATCTTTTGCGATAAAGATTCCACCTGGGTAGGTTATTGATATTTTAGTAGTTACTCGTTACCGGTAAAATGAAATCAGGGTAAACACGGCAGCATTATATTGTTACTTCATTATGGTATTCTGTGCAACTTCGGTTTTTCACTAGCGCAATGCACTGAAACACTAAACTGTTGTTATTTTTATAAATATTTTTCCTTAATTGGAAACAACTGCTGCTGGCTCTTTAACTACTTACAATTATAATCGTGTTACGGTTTTTAACAGTATTCAATAAATTTAAATGTTTTTTTATACGTGAAAGAGCCTTGCTTCAGAGCTTGATTGGGGAATCACCACGTTTTCAGAGAATATCAGCGTAAAATAGCAGCATCAGCAATATGCTACTGTATTTTGTAGGGTGAGTGTGGAGAACCGGAGACCCATTTCTACTGGAAACTATTATAATTCACATGCAATCTGCATCTGTTCTCAGGAGATAAACCTGTTTTCAGGAGTCGCATCTCCAATTAATAATAATAATAAGATAAAAAGGCGTAGGGAAGTGACGACTCCATCGCCCGCTGACGTAACGGTTGTGTGACAAAACTGCTACGTCAGCGCAGTCAGTCAACGCCTTGCCAAGAGGTGTTAGTGCCGTGCCTCGACAAAATTAAAGGTGCAAAGGCTCACTTGTGTACATGGCCTCACCATGAAATGGCGCCGGGTCTGGGCGCCTCCCGTTAAATGACGCCTATTAAAATGGATGATGGACTTGTATAGAACGCGCAAAGGGCCGCTGCCTGCTGGTCGCCTGTGCCCATCTGGTGTTGGCGCTGGATGCGACAGCATGCAAAACACCAGCCGAGTGCGAGGTGCTACACGACTACCCAACAGTCCCTCGAATCCATCAACCCCACCAGCTGGCTTGGTGTCGGCAAGGTATTCGCGAGCCCAGCAATTGGCACACGCCACTGATGGAGTACGCCGCATGCGTTGGACAATGCAGATGAATAGCAACTCATTGCTGGCGTATTTAAGGGCGAAAGGGGGAGAAATTTGAGGTTTTGCATATCGGGCTAGGATTCTATAACTATCACTGAGCAAAACTTGGCAGACTGAGTTCGGTATATCTTACGCTCAAATATATTTGATGTCGCCGAACTCGAACGGATATGAGGTTAGGCTGTTCCTTCACCACAACTTGCAGTGCAACCCGCAAACGTGGAAGCCGCTGTGAATGCCCCTGTTGTGCTTGATTCAAACGATGATGGAACAGTCACCCAGGAACCAGAATTAGAGCAAATGAGTACATTGGAAGAGACGATTGTGGAAACGCGCAGTACGCCTCTCGAAAATCGACCTAGACTTCTCGCATAGCCCTAAGCAAGCTGGTGACCTATTTCAAAGCCAGCCGGGACCTTTGCGAGACGAACTCAATTATTTTTTGCGCCACACTGGCAGTTTGTCATATTATAGGCGCCAAATTTTCCGCGGCTGGATGCGCTCCTGGACAAAGTAGCGCTACCTCAGCCTGGAAAATAAGAATTGAAAAACGTATCGTAAGGGCCCTCTTCGGCAGACTGATATGCTTCAGGTCAAGCAATAACAGGCCAAGGTTATGTGTACCGTCAGGATGGCGTTGGCTGGGACAAATGTCAGTTTATCCCAGCTGAACATAGTGCAAAAAGCGCATAGACGACCTGAAGCAGAAAGTCACTGCTTGGGGAAAGCGGATTCGGCGATATACCAAGAGGAAGGGTTGCTAACTCTGAAGCCATCGATTTATCTATGTCCATCAATTTAAAGACCCTTTCCGAGGCTGAAATATACCGATACATGAGTATGTCACAGAACATCGGTACCGATGAGGCTGGTATGAAACAGTCAGTTTGCGACGTTTTATGCACGCTTGACCAAAGTGCTTAACAGTCTTTTGTCCTGTGTGAATAAGACACACGCATATAACGGTTTGGTCATGCCTGTCCTCATTTACACCTTTGGCATACTCATGTATACTCATGTAATAAAAGTAGCAAAAAATGAAGACAGTGCTGCATAGGAACGTCCACAAAAGGTTTTTACATAACCTTATCTTGTGATATACCCTCATTGTGTTTACAAAATGTGTAGCTGTCTTGTGATTGTTATTTAAGTATGGATGTATGAAGTTTGTAGCAAATATGTTATAGTCTTAATCTTTATTAATGTATAACGACGGCTTAGGGTGTACGGTAAAACTCAAAAGAGTTTAAGTTTACACCTTATTAATTGTTATACTTCTAACTGTATGTGAAAACAAAAATAAATAAAGGAAATGAATGAATGAATGTGGTCTCAGACTGAACTTAGTACCCTGGATAGAAAAGTCCGCACTACCGTGACATCCCATAGAGTGCATCATCCGAGATCGTCGGTAATGAGGCTGTACTTACCGCGAAAGCAGGGTAAACGTGGCTTTTTAAGTGCGCTCACCATGCACAATCGCGAGACCGTATGGAAGGAGAAGGAGCCCCATGGGAGGTTCTACGAAGCTCTTCATGAGCCTTTCGTAGACACAGTGGGGAGACTACGATCCACTGGCTACGTTTTGGTGACCTCTTCAGGGAAACCGAGGGTTTTGTTTGTCCAGGATCAGGTTTTTAAGACCACCAACTATCGCAGATACATCCTAAAGGATGGCACCGTCGACATCTGCCGAGCTTGTTGCAATCCCGGTGAGTCACTTAGGCATGTCATCTTCGGTTGTTCGGCACTTTCTAACTATGAGTACTTGCACAGGCACAGCCTAGTAGCCAGAATTCTACTCCAGGAGCTCGCTCTGAAATACGGTCGCGTGGACCAGAAATTGCAATATTAAAAGTACTTGCCGGAAGCCGTAATCGAAAATGATCGCGCCAGGCTCTACTGGGACCGGACCATCATCACAGACAGGACTATTTTGGCAAATAAGCCTGATATTGTGCTGATAGTCCGGCCACAGTCAAGGATATTTTTGGTCGAAATTACCATTCCGTATGACGAGAACCTCGTGAAAGCCGAAACAGATAACCATAATATAGCTGTAGCGTGGCCCTATTGGTTGTTTATTGAATATATATCATTATATTTAATAAATGTGTTTTAGTTACTTTTGTGTATATAAATTAAATTTTTGGTAATATACTGTGACAAAAGTTAAATTAAAGAAATAGTCTTTAAATTTTAATTAGGTTAACACTCCAGCAGAATGATAAATAGTTTTAATGTTAGTCGTATTTCACAAGTAATACTCGACATTGAGTCGCGTTTTAAGATTTTATTTTTTAGGTATTAATTACATTATGAAATTTAAATTTTTTGTTTTTAATGTTTTTGTAGCGGTGCTGTCACTGCGCCAAAAAAACACAAAAACTAAGTAAACACAAGCAAAGCACAGCAATTTGAAACAAGCTGCAAATAGTTATATAGTTTATCTCGTAAAGTTTCGTGTAGTCGACGTCAGAAAACGGTTTAGTGCAAAAAATGTTCATATTACAACAAAAGAGAAACTTAAAATTTCCTACTTTTGGGTAGATAAGGGTACCGTTCCACTTGCACTCGTATGTGCACGAACTACGTGTTAACACATAAATAGTATTGATGGGGACAGAGACAAACAAGGAAGACATGGGCAGCAGTGTCTTTCTACAGCTAAAAATAACATACCACGATTGCCAGCTCATCTACTAATAGCGGTTTCAGACTAGCGTATTTTTTTTGCGCGTATACGGTCGTTTCAGCATACGCGCTTATACGCGCGCTACATTACGCGCTTCTAAAAACCATACTTGCGTAAACGGCCATATTTCGGCGTGTTCGCTCGCACCGGTGGTGTCGTGTCAGTATCAACATGGAT